CCTTCACGGAATGTGCTTGTGCCTACATTGGGAGAGGAAGCCTTTGTGAGGCCAAATGGCAGCAAGCAACTGCCAATCAGCTATGCAGAGCATTAAAGGTTATGGTCCTTTCAAAAAAAAATAGGAAAAAGGTTCTGTGAGGTTATACTATTGAATTGTTGGATTGTACATTAAACCATTTAAAAAAGGCCATTACTTATGTTTCCTCAGCCAAGTATAGTTAACTGCTTTATCTCAATGCGCTGTGTACCAGTTCACTATACTAGGCATAGTGCTGGTGCAAAACAGAAAATAAACATCATGAACTATATATGCTGTATTCAGAAATATTCAGCAGATAAATAAATGGTTCTGCCTTGTTGCCTTTGAAAAAGAATGTGATTTCTGTTTTACTGCCACTTTTGCTATAAACATGAAACTAAATAACCTAATATTTTATAGAGCTTTCTCTTGTTGAAGGAAATTTGTCACAGAAAAAGAAGTTCCAAGTTTTTCCTTTCCAAAAACTAATTTTGCCGGAGTATCATTCATTATTATGCATCTGCATTTACACTTTTACAGGCTTGTCTGAAGAAAGACAGAATCCAGATTTGTGTGCCGTGTGATTAAGATTTGCTGATGTCAAGCTCTAGAGACAGTTCACTAGGGAAATAACATTAAAACACAGTTGTATGTTCTTACCATTTCAATGCTATCACAAAAATACTTGTGACTATAGTACAAAGTTATTATAGCCATGGGGGTGATATATTGTGGTCTACCATTTTAAGAGATCAGATTTTTGAAGGAAAGGATACTGTAAAGAGATATTATCATGATAATCTCTCAGAGTGAATTTAGCATAGTTCTATTATTTATTTACTTAATCTCTTTATAATTTATTATTACATTTATGCCTGTTTCCTGTCTTCACATTAAAACCTTACGATCTTGAGGAAAAAATGAGGAGGATGTCCAGATGAGGTAAAATAGAGCTACAACTCACAAAAGACCAGATATATTTCTATAGCTACATGCCTCTCCCCACACCCCAAAAAGATAATGATCCTTCTACAATTATAATAATGGAAAAAGTTGATTGCAGAATATGTTATCAACTTGAAAAGAACACAGAAAATACAGTTTTGACTCTGTTATTCTAGTTGTAAAGATTCCATTAATCCAAACATTTGGATTTTTTATTTCTTTATTAAACACTGTGTCCCAGGTGTTTATGAAGTTCTATGGCATTCCCCCGGGTTTATAACTGAAATTTCTATATGTTAGCATATAACTTTAAAAAAGGTACTAATTCAGATGTTATGGAACTGTGATAATGCTATTATTTAAGGCATTTATTTAAATGTGTTTATACTTTGTAGTTTTATAAATAAGCCCAAGGGGCTCCTTCTTAGTTGTCACATTCTTCCTTGAATCTCGTATTCTGTCTGTCTTATCCTATCCGACAGTAGAATTGATACCACTCTAATCCCTGGAAGTTTGGAACTAATGAACTAACTGCTGAGCTGCCGCCACGGAGCTTGGTCCCAAACTATACTGTACTTCACACTCGATTTATTCTCCAGATGGCGAGACTGTGCAGCCCTGCCGCGAGGGACCACCTCTTCCACTGGAGTGTAAAAGTGGACGGATGTTGTTTTCTTTGCAGATTTGATCATTCAGAGCTAGAAACTTGTGAGGATGATTAGTTATTAGCTTTAATGGGTGCCAATTGAACCAACTGCACGCATATTCTCTTCTTTAATTTCAGTGTCTGTGTGCCTTGGTGATGGTTGATTTATCTGCAGTGCTACGTCACTGAAACCTTTTATCTTCTCCATTTGGTAGCAGTACATGGTAACAGAAGTCTTAATATGCCCTATTCAGAGTCATATATTAGAATGAATATAATAATATGCTTATTAGCTACTGTTTTACATTTAAGTAGCCCCAGAATGGATTATCAAGTAAAAGTTGCAAATCTGAATACTGTATTGATATCAGTTTAGAATAGGAACTGTTGGTCATCTTTCTATCTCCTTCCATTTTATGGAATTCCCAGTCAGTTTTGAACCTAGATATGAACTGGGATACAATAATTCCAAGCTACCTCAGAATGGATTAAGTTATTTAACAGTAAGGTTTACTTCTTTATTAGTATTCATTCACTGCATTGGTTGGTACAATGCTGACATCAAGCAGAGTATATACTTGATCTAACTGTTCTTTCACCAATTCTTACTTGATCACGTGTAAGAGAGGATTTGTATGTAAGCAGGTTCATTCTTATTTCAAGTACCTACCTGTATTTATATAAGTGCATCAGGTATCAAATTTTCTCTATTACTAAACAGAGTAGTCAAACTAACTAAAAGTTTAATCTTTTTTACGCATTATGTAAATATAGTAGTGTCTGTATTTGATTGCATAGTGATACAGAAACAGCTCTCTTTTTTTGATGTGTTTGATGAGGTTTTGAGTATGTTTTCGTATTTACCCACAAAACATTTGTCTGTGGACCTGATCTTGCTATTCCAGTGACTTCAGTAGTTGCAGGTTTGTACAGCTGACTGGGGTACCTGAAAGCTTCTAGGTAGCTGGTACCTATTATTTTAGTCATAATTAATCTGTATAGTTGAATTTTGATTTGGAAATCATAGCGACTGGGTGAATTTAATCAAATAAGAGAATCGTTTCCAGTGCTGGGAAATCTCTCTCTCGTTCTGAAGCAGACAGAACTATAAAATTTAATGGCTCTAAGAAATTGAATCTATTCTCAACCCAACAGATGGCATGGGTGTGTTAACTAACACAGCAACATATTTCTCTATTAAAATATGAAAAAACCCACATTGGTTGGTTGGTATGAATTCAGTGAAGTTGGTTATTTTTGGGATGTGTACCAGAGAGTTGCACACTTAGTTTATGCAAATTGCTAAAAGCAACAGCCTGTTAATAAATATTTTGTATGGAAATATACCTAGAAAGACATGATCTGTCTTTTTGGGGGGAAGAGGGTTTACAGCCTGAGGGGAAAAACAGCTCACAAGAATGTTTACTGATCATTATTCTGATCAGAAAAAAAATAACGAATCAGATTGTAGGTTTTTGAGTGATGTGCCTTCATTTGGAATTGGATGTTTAATTATAGGGATATCTAGTGAGATTATTTTGTACATTGATCGGTATGTGCTAAAACTGTGATAATCTGACACTAATTAAGAGCATAAATTGGTTTGGAGAATGTTTGTCGAACTACCTCTCTGCACTAAATCTAAAAACTTTCAGGCTAATTATTCCTGCTCTGACAAGGAGAATTTAGTGGGTTTTATATTTACCGGTGCTGACACCATATAGTTCAGTTTACAGAAACCAGAAGACAAATGATTTTAGATAGCTGCATGTTGGAGCTTTCTTCCAGCTAAACATGCTTGTAATAAACTGTTTGTTGGTTTGTGGATTTCTTAATGGCTGCAATTAGGTTGCATTCAAAGTGGCTATAATACTTTTTTAATGTATTTGTATTTTGTGGTAATTAGCACTGAATGTAGTCTTTCTCATAACATGGGAAGGTGTTTATCTGCATGTGTTGCGCATTGTCCTTCTCTGTCCAGCTGATGGGCATATGTTGGAGAAGCATGGATGGGAGCACCAAGCTGAAGGCTGTGCGATTCAAGTTTCATTAACTTTCTGCTTCATTATTCTTTCAGTTTAACTGGTTAGAGCCATCACTTGCTTTTGTCTAAACTTACCCTAATTATTGGCAGTCCAAGCCTTGTAAATCAGTACACTGAAGAGCTGTCTTAAGCTGGTCTTGGAGACCCTATTCTGATCTGACCTGACAACTGTAAGCTACTGTTTCCTCACACTGTTTAACTCAGACCACATTTTGAAACCTCTTCTGTCTCTACTAACAGGCAGAGGTTTGTATCCATCTGGTTTAAATCTGCTGTCATGTGTTGTCTCACTGATTAGTATTAGACTTGGATATTAACTTTGATGATTTTTTTCTGAGTTTGCCTGTACTTCTATTCAAATAGCTGTATATTGTTAAAGCTGGTTTTTTAACATTCATGAGTCAGAAGCTTTAAAGTTTTATTAGTACCATAAAAACTCTTCACAAATGAAATTACTTTTGATAAGTGTTCATTTTGACAATGAGAATTTGTTAAGGGCTGTTGGCAAGTTGAAGGAATTTTTTTTTGAAACTGAAATTGGCAGGAAATAGTGAACCCAAGTGCTTTCCTTTTTGCCCCCCTCTTTTTCTCAAAGCCAATAAAAGTGTTTCATTTCAGTAAAGTATTTAAGTATGCTGAATGCAAAATAAAGATTGAGTACATTTCTAAACTTTCTGTCCTTCATCATGTTTGTGACGTGTGTGTCAATGGGAAAAAACAGAGGGTCTTTTCATGTTTTCTAGTAACGCGGAGTACCTTTTATGACAAATCAAAGCTTCCAGGAACATCTACAGGTTATTTTGCATTACATAGCATTTATTTTCACCTGGGAGTTTTTACGTAAACTATAAATTTTAACACAGCTAAAATTAATGTAAAAAAAGAGTTTCGTATAGGAAGACAAAAGAAATATAGACACGGGCCTGTATTTGCTGACAACCATGCACTATCCAGGTATATATAATGGTATAAATATGAATTGGAAGTATTATTTTAAGTAGTTTCAACATTCCATTTTCAGAGAGTGTAGAAAGGACTATACCAGTATAACGGGGGGGAGGGGGGTGTAGGCAATTTAAAGTAATTTTAAACATGATTGTTTTCTACAAATATTATTCATCATACAAGAAAATGAATAATTATATGTTAAGTATGAAGAGAGTGATAAAGATAAAATTATGAGGTATTTGCAAGTAGCTTAATAAAAGGCAAAAGTGATGGATATTTTGAAAAAATATTGTTTCTATTGTCGGTTCTCATTTTGTTTCTTCAGTGTCACATGTCTGCTCAATGGGCATCTATATCAATACAATATAAGCTATTTTTTAAATATATATATTCTAGAAAGAAGCAAGACAGACAGTTGTGAAAACACTAGAGGAGTTTGAGTTTGGCCAGACTGAAAAGTGCATTAGGATCAATTCGGTGTCCAGTGATCTTGCAGAACAAGATCTAGAGGTGCTTCTACAGTCCAGCATCCTTCCTTCAAGCCTGATGCTGCCAAAGGTTGAAAGTACAGAAGAAATAAGATGGGTGAGTAACATGCCATCATCATAGCTTTGATTGAACTCCTTGGGCCAATGAACTTGAGTTATAAAGAATGTTGCAATTATCGTGGGGCAGGGTTAGATTTTGGCACTAAGAACATAGGGAAGTATTTAATTATGATATGTATGAGTTGGAGTTGGACAAAGAACATACATAGAGCAATGGCAGTTTTTAAAGACAATTACTTTTCTTCCTACTGTTATCAATGGAAAATGAATATCATTGTTGCAGTACATTATCAAAACACAGAAAATGCACAAGAATTTGACCCTTTTATATCAAACTCTGAACGATCTCTAACATCTTAAAAAGGGTCACCTATGTGTGTTTTATATACATGCATTGCAAGCTATAGATGGTGAAAACATGTTAGCAACATATGAAAAAATGGGTAGGGGGAGGAAAAGGTCACTCCTTAGGGCAACTAGAGGAACAAACAGGAAGCTTTTAACTAGTGTTTTTAATTAGCACAGATATTATTTCCTGAGCAGTTCTCTATTTCTTCCTTTTTAATTGCTGGCAGGTGTGTTTGTGTTTCATGACTGACTTTTCAGCCAATAAAAACCTGAAATGTAAATGGTTGGCATGTCAAATTACTTAAGAAAACTTTGAAATAGGCCTAATTATGCTATAATCGTTTTAATTGTCAAGAAGAGGTACATTTTATTTAGAGATACCATTATTTCTACAAAATACCACTAGAGGAATAATGTTTAATTATACCATTCCGTACTTTTAAAAATCACAAATAAAGTAAGCACCTAAAATGTATGCAAACTGTGATGAAAATAGTTAGATGTATTTATACCTGTTTTAATCTCAGCACCTAACCCTTGATCAAGCCTTTAAGACAATATATGCAAGTAGAATTCAATGACTTTGTTACCATGTTACAGTTCTTTTCTATTTCTTAGTAGCATACCGTCTGTCTCCCCTTTTTCAAATGAAGGTTATGTCCCCTTACATGAACATTTAATTAAATTAACTAGAATATACCTCTCAGGGTTTACAACCATGTAAGTGTTAGACATAAGTTGTCATTTATGAATATTCATGCTTCCAAAATGGCAGGTCCCTCACTACCACCAAATATGTTTTACACTGATATAAAATGAAAAGATTCTTTGCCATTGCTACCTCACTCCCCTCCACCTTTTCTCGTGGCTAACTTTTATTTCTAACGTCATCCTATTAGAAAATAAACCATTCGCACTAGCTTATATCTTATTGTCTGTATTGTTGTTATGTTGCATTCTGTTAAACCCTTGGATGCAGAGAATGTGTTGGAGTTAATGGCATTGTTTCTATATATACATATATTTCTATATTATATATATGTGTGTGTGTGTGTGTGTGTGTGTGTGTGTGTGTGTATATACACACACACACATTATATAATTTTGTTTGAGATTTGTAGTGTAACAGAAGCTGTTTATTTTTTCCCCCTCATTTTTATTTATGTGAAGCATAAAACCTGGAGGCTGATGCACAACTAAAAGATGGGCTTACTTGTTTTCTTTTGTGTGAGAATCTCTTGCTTTCCTTTTGTCCCTAGTATGGGTACTTGTTTGACTGGCATGGCTTATTGGACTATAACAAGCGTAACTCTCCCTCCTTTGTCATGGGACAATTCTCCCACAAATCCTGAACAGTGTGCATTCTTCCCAACACACTATTGGGTGTGCACTGGAATTGAAAGAATTGCTGAGGCCTGCTACTTCATCCCCTCCCCAATCTTTGTTTTTTCCCCCCCTCCTTCTTTTTTTCCCCCCTCTCACTGAAATGAACACTTTACCAGGCCGGAAACATTTAATTGTCTCCTTTTGAAAAAATTAATTGAAACTTCTCCACTAGTTACCTTTTGTATTGGTGCTTATAACAAAATTTTAAAAAGAAAAGGAAGGGCAACAATATTCATTAAACATTTTCTCTCCCCCCTTCAAAACAAGATATTAAAATGGAGAAAGTCGACAATGAGACTTTTTAAGTGTTTTGAAATATACAGAGTTCTCTCTCTTAAACGTACGTGTAAGATATATACCCAGTAGCATCCATTAAAAAATCAAAATCCGATTTTTTAAGAACTAAAGGAAATGGAATTATTCTATTCCACCACTTCCAGTGTTCACAGTCTGTATGTGAAAAGTTTACTATTTTCTGTTGCTGTACCTATGATACTGTACACATTCACATTTGCATGACAGTGAATTTCTAGTTGAATTCTGTTAATTTCTAGTTGAGTTCTTTTCTCCAGGGTAAAGTTACAGAGGTGATGGTGATGATAATGATGATGGTGATGATGATGATGATGCAAAGAAAATATGGGGAGGGCAGGATGTGATTTATTTTGGCCTAATTGTAAAGTTACTGCAAATTGCTCAAAAGCTTTTTAAAGATCTCACTGATTAGATTTTCCTTTCTTTTTGGGAGGGGCGAGGAGGGAAGCTAAAAGGGGAAATAACACCTCTAAACCAGCTTCTGGTAAATAGGCTGCCAGCTTTTAAAATGAGTTTCCTTTCTATTAGTCAGAATATTATGCTAAGCCTTAAGCATTAGTTTTTTATGTTGCCATAGCAGCCTTATTCCTGCAGGGTTGTGACCTGTGATGATTACAGTACAAAGCTTATAGGGTCTTGAAACCCCCTTTGAAGATGAAAAGTCTTTGATGGTTTATATTTATGCAAATCTCTTAGATATGATTTACCCAACTGAGACTGAATGGAGAGATGATTAAAATTCCCTTTCCTTTGATATCCATTAATGGTTGAATATTCCTTAAATTTAAAATGAATGCATGTGTTATTTTTGTCTTTATTTACTAAAATATTTTTGCCATACCTGTGATATATTTATCTCCTCACAAATTGCTAGATCTAGACAGACATAATAGATTTACAATATAGGTTGTGGGTTTTTTTCTTTTGAAAAGGGAAAAATCTGTGCAAGCGCTTTTGTATGTTTCCAGATGATAGATTTTGGAATTTGGGCTACCCCACTGGCAGCTCAAAGCTAGCTGTGAACTGGTCTCATGGAAAAAATTGGAAAGCTTTGGTCTTCAAAGAATTAAACTTCCTTTTTAAGGCCTTCCTAGGTAAGCTAAAAATTATGAAGAAAAAGACTCCTGAACAAAGGGTAACGGTGCCGTAATGCATAATACGGATGCCACTTAGAAGGCTGCGGAACAGTTACAGTGATGTCAGTGTTAGACCTGAAACAAAACAGGATGTCAGGTATATCAATACTTCATTGTTTTTAAGGGCCTGCTGATTTGCATTTAACTAAGTCAGGGTGATAGGTGTTAAGTAAATATTTTTGCAATTAAACCTTTAAACTTAAAAATATACAGTAACACTGCAGGTCAAAATTGTAGGCCTCAAAACAGACCTACTTTAAAGGTTTTTATTATTATTATTATTATGGTTCTGGTTTTCTTTGTAATTAAAGCCAGGTAGAAACATTTTAAAAGGTATGAATGAGTTCAGGCAGATATTAGTAAATTAATTTTACTCTGATAATTTCTGTTCTGGTTTTAGTTTTCAGACAGATTTTTACATCACTTAAAAGGTCGAACACTTGTAGAACCAATGAATTTAATCCCTTTTGTGGAAACTGCAATGGGGTTACTCAATTTTAAGGTAAGGAACCTTGCTGTAGTTGAGGAGTAAATATTTTATCATATCAACAACCTGGGTTTTAATTAAACAGTCCATGTCCTTTAAATAAGCAGTTTCTCAAAATGAGAGATATAAAATTAATACAAATTATTAATTGCAATTCCCTAAAGAGTTTGAATGTTTTATTTCTCATAGTCTTTATGTGAAGGTCTTCATATGCCAATATCAGACAATACATGCATAACATACAATAAAACTATATGCATTCGTTTTCATTTCAATTTTACATTCAATTTTTTTTGCAATATGTAGCTATGCTCTGAAATGATCTGGAGTGCATAACTTAATGTAATAAACTTAACTAATTAGGAACTGGCATAAGTGACTATGTATTTGACTTTTATTTAGAAATAATCTGATCATTTCATTAATCTTCCATGGTCTCTTTCAGAATGGATTTTATTTTAAAAGCTTCTCCCAAATTTCGTATTATTGATTTGAGGACAAATAGCAGCTTTTCATTTCATGTGTATAGATTGTATTCATTGTTAAGTGTTGTTAGAAGTGTAACTAAAGTTCTAGACTACATAACATCTGCACAACTTACAATTTTGTTATTTTCAGATTCACTTAAATTTAAATTCTGTTTTTATTCTTCCCTGTGTGTGCTCCAGTCTTAGTACCCCCCTATATTTCTACATGGGAAAGAATGTATTGATGATGAAATTGAAAATCAAATGCACTCACTGGAAATGCAGTGTTCTCCTAAAACTTCAAGGGAAAAGTTTCCTACCATTCAGAACTTCTGTGTTATGAGAGTTTTAGGAACTGCTCAAGAGGCCTTATATGGTCAACATGTTTATTTAGCAAAGCCATTCATTCTGATTAGGCATTTTAAATATATCTCAAAACAGGGTTTGAAGCATTGCTAAACAAACATGCTAATTTTTAGTACGTAGATTGAGGCTCCATTTTAAACATTTATATGGTTTTTTCACCTGTGATATTTTGTAGCACAATGTTTAATGCCACAGTTCTTGGTTTGTCAAGTCAGTTACAGTTTATACTTAAAATAATAATTTCTTATGCCAGCACCTGCCACATGTGAATGCTTAGTAGCAATACAATTTGTAGTTACATCTATCTCTTTGCATGCATTATGTTAACAAATATTAATAATAGTAAAACATTGATATAAAATAGTAATGCTTTTGATATAATTTTATATAATACCCATAATAACAAAGTGCTGCTTACTTTTGCATTCATGCATTTCAGAACTACTTGCTGCATTTTTTTTTTTTTTTTTTTGCTTCTGGTAGCTAATTTAGTTGTACTGAACAATATTAACATTTTTAAATTCACAATATGCATGCTTTGAAACATCCAACTACTATTTGTTTCATAACAGACACTCTCATCTTTGTTCCTGTTTCTTGTACAACATTAATAAATACTAAAGTATAAATTAAAGAAGTCAGGTATGTGTTCATTTATGGGCAGCATTTAACAAGTACTTAATTTACTAGTATTGCATGTATTTTTAAAGTGCCAGTTGCAGAAGTGTCCACAGCAGTCATAAGTTCATTCATATTTGCCCCCTCAAAAAAGGCAAAAATGTACGATTGTCTGCTGTAACTACAGAGTATTTGTTCATATGCAAACACATTGATATATGTTTTGCTGAGTCATTTTAAAATATTAAATGCAAGAAATACTTACAGTAGTTTATTTTGCTGAAGCAGTGTTAGCCAAAAGGTTTTCTAGATTTTTTTTAATAGAATAAAATGGTATAATTTGCTCTCTGGGATTCCTGAAATTCTGTAGAAATTAATACTCTGTTCTCATTTGAAGGCAGTATGTGAAGAAACACTGAGGATAGGACCCGAAGTTGGCCTTCATTTGGATGCAGTAGTCTTTGGAGGAGAGGATTTTCGTGCCAGCATAGGTTCTTACCTGCCTATTTATTATAAATCTTAATTTATGTCATTTGCAGTTCAGATTACTACTGTTGTTTTACCCAGTGGCTAAAACACTATAGGGAGATTATTCTGAAGTTACTTTTTCTTTCTCCATTATTTTTATTATTTTATAATGTATTGCTGATATATTGAAATGTTCCTGCTAGAGCTGTGGCTTTACAATACACTGATCTTTTTCTGTTTTTGTCATACTATAGCAAAAATTGAAAAACTGGTAAATCACTAAGATTATTTTTAAATGTAATATTAATAGGAACCAACACTTGTATATACTCTTAAGAAATGCTTTTCAAGTGATATGCTCATGTTTCTGATTTTAGCATAATTTACAATATTATATGCATATCCATTCAATATTTTGACATTATGCACGAGTAGTTTCCTGTCATGTTTTGTGTTAGTATATTTACTGTAAACACTTGCCATGTCAAAACAGCCTTATCACTTCAAGGACCTACATTTAGGCAATATTACCATTCTTTCAAAGCTAGTTTCAGAATCCCCTTTATAATCTGCTAATTTTCCTTTTGTTGTTCTGATTCGGCTACAAAAATCCTTACGACAACACGCATAGTTTAGAAGTGCCAACGTCTAACCAAAGTATAAATATTCTACTATAAAATTAGCAACAAAGTTTTAAATTATTCCATATGACTTGATGATCCATATCTAGGCAGTGACCCTAAGGAAAAGAGAACAGATTATTATTTTTTCACACCAGCATTCATGTGAGAATGTTTTTTATCTGATATACTGCGGGCACATGAAGTCTTGTGAATGCTTTTTGTCCCTCTCAAAAGTCATCTGCCATAATTTTTCAAATTTTCCCATCCAAATACTAAAGCTTGAACATTTGGCTTAGGACATCCGTTGTGACAAGAATCGCAACCAAGGAAAGTGCAATTCTGTTCTCAGTGTGAATTTTTTAACCATTTCATTGTACACAGTATGTCCATTTGTATAATGCTTCTCTTGGTGTAATGCTTTTCAGTACCATTACAATAAACAATAGAAGCACATAATTACTGAAGGTGGGTCCCAGCCCTGCAGTCCTTGCTCAGCCAAAACTCCCATTCATTTCAATACCAAAACCTGTGATTTGAACTAAATCACACCCTACATTTTAGAAGCTAAGATCTGAAGATTTTTTTTTTGCCTGGCAGCTGCATATGAATGAATTCTCTACATGATTTTGATAGTGTAACTTTGCATCCTTACGTCTTTCTTTTTCTTTTTAAAAATTCGCTTAAATGAGAATTCAAAGAAACAATTACTTTTATGTAGAAAACCTTTCAAATGAGAAGATTATGAAACTAATTTCAGCTTCTTTTCTTTGTATTCATGGGTTTTTTTAGGTGCAACAAGCAGTAAGGAAACTCATGATATTCTATATGCCAGGCAAAAAATAGTCGTCACTGCAAAGGCTTTTGGCCTACAAGCTATAGACCTTGTGTACATTGATTTCCAAGATGACGATGGGCTCCGTAGGCAATCCAGAGAAGGTGCCTTAATGGGTTTCACTGGTATGGTTTTGACAATGTCTAAAAAATATGTTGCATCTTTATCAATTAGTACATACAAGGGCATTATATAAATTAGACTACTAAATGCTTTCTTGGAGCACTTGTGCTATAAAATGCATCCCTAGTAACTTGCTTTTAAAATTGCAGACAGAAAATTCTGACTGCAAAAACAGAGACTGTTTTTATAAAATCAGCCCATCACAATAACCACTTTTGTAAGAGAAGCCTGGTTATAAGATGTGTACTATGCGATTCTTCCTGCCATTACAGTTCAGATGTGATGCGGTATTGTGCTCTGTGCTGAACATTTTGAAATTCTTTTTTATGTTTTTTATTTCTTTTTCATAGTTTTAACCAATTATTGCTAAAGATTTGTGGGGGAGAAGTGATTTAAAAAAAATCAACATGTTAATTAGGACATGAAAGTTATTTTCTTTGATTTGTTTTCCCATATTCTGGCTCCCCTCCCAGTAAGTGCTGGTGACACCTACGGGTACTGGCAGACAGCAAGACCAGCAGGCTCCTTGCAACAGAGTCCTGTAATACAGACTGTTATTCTATGATTGGTGTATAAGATCACTCAGACACCCTGATGAGACAGTGCATCAACCAAAAAGATTGTATTGGGTTGAGGGTTTTTTTTGCAATAGAAATGAGCCATTTGACACATGCATTACAAAATTTAGAAAATAAAACCAACACTTTAAATTACATAACTATACATTATCACTCAAGTCAGATTTAAGATAATTATATATTTGTTATTTTTTTATTATTGAACATATATGACTTGTGGTTGTGACCTAAGAGGAGGTGACATTTTTACCATACAGTGGCGCAGTGTACATTTAAGCACTTATATTACCTAAACAAACAAACAAATCAAATAAAACAAAATCAATTTAAGTGTTTTAGACATTGCTGTTAAAAACAATAGTGGATGGATAGTAACTATAGACTCTCCAAGTTATGCCATGTTGTCTGCTGAACTTTTCTACTTGCAAAATCTGTATGTTGATTCAGAAGCAAAACTGTTAATTGATCACAGCTATGGAACACTACTGATGTGTGTATATATAGACATTCAGGCCGGATCCTATTCCTTCAAAAGTCGATAGAAATTTGATAGGGCTCTTGGATTCTAGCACCTACTGGTGGCTAAAACATTTATTCCAACATTTTCGAAATTTGTTACCTGAAGTTCTTGAGCATCAAGATCTCTTGCTGAAATCATCTACAAGTGGTTAGCGCTTCCAAAAATCAGGCCACTTTAATTGTTAATGCTTAATATGTGTTCATATTATTACGATACCTAATTCAGGTCCCTCCCTAAGTGAGAAAATGTTTGCCATTATCAACCACAAAGGTACTTCAGACTGTGGCAGCCATATATAGGGACTCATCTGAAAGCAATATAATAGGGTTTGGGAGAGAGAACTGTGCAGCTGGCACTAAGCAGCTACTGATCATTTTAAAGCTGGAACTTCCTCTGTAAAAAGATTTTTTTTAAATTAGAATATAGAACCCAAAGAATAGGGCTCAGGTATGTCATGAATATAGAGATCTACATCTGAGAATTTATGATGCAAAGGTAGGTCAATTCCTCACTTAGCCATGGAGGGTCTTTAGAAGTTTAAAGACCTCCAGGGGGTGCAGCGCTCATTAACATTAACTGTAGCCTCTGCCCTTACCCTTTCCATGGCTTTAATCAACAAATCTTAAAAACTCCATGCCCCAGCATAGAGTCCATTTCCATATGGGATCATATTTAGAGATGGACAAATAACAGATTTTCTGGGGTGAGGCCAAACCAAAAAAGAAAAGAAAAGAAAATGATTCAAGCCAATCCAAAACGGAACTTTTTTCAGGGGAGTTTGGCAGAAACAAAAATCAAAACAGTTTTTGTGTTCAGTTTCAAATGCTTCGTTTGACTTAAAACAAAATGTTTTGTTTTCATTTTAATTTTGTTTAACTCTTTTAGTAATATTTGTGTTTCTTTTTTAATTTACTTTGGGTTTTTTGTTGTTTTTACAGTAGGTGTATTTTTAAATGAAAAGAAATGGCCTTTCAAAACAAAAAAATTAAAATAATTTGTGTCAAAATAAAGTGTCAGCATTTTCAAAAATTTCCACCATTTTCTTTTGCCTGAAACTTAGTTTTTAAATTAATTTACTATTTGCTGAAGTAACTTCTCCTTGTTCTATTCCTAGCCAATTACCTTCTGCTAAGCAGAAGCCTGTGCCTCTTCTAGTTGCCTGTCACTATGATGATAATATCATAATGTCTGGTATTAATAAGTAGTTCTGAACCCTGAATTCTTGAACATTTTGCAATATATAGGATCAAAACTCTTTATTTTTACACATATAACCAGTGCCATCAAAGTAAATGGGTGTTAATAAAATAAACTGAGCTAAATCTTTCACAGAACTCAAGAAATGGTTTTACTTATTAATTAGCAAGGTACATACTTATTTAATGACGACAAGATTTACTGCATCCTAAACTAATGCAATTCCATAGTATTTTACAAAGTTATGTGCACTTAGGCCTGCAGTGAATTTGGGACCTTAATGTAAAGTTAGCAACATATATTTAATGAAGTTTAACCAGTATCAACATCTCCAAAAATATAGTTACTCAATGTCCATCTATATGGATACTAGTGTAGACCTTATTGCTGTAGTTCATACGTTTTCTTCTTTTTTTTTTAAACTACACCTGGCAGCCTAATCTTTCTGTCATACACACGTGTCTTCATGTATTGTGCATATTTTAAACATATTTACCCAGTGCGGTTTTTGAAAAAAATGCGTTTACTTTTAAGACAGCATATGTTTTACAGTGCCATGACATATGGATTTAAAATCAGTTCATTGACTATACAAATGGTCATCAGCTTTAGGAATGTTTGTATAAAAAAAAAGAAGTAAAACTTGGAATAAGCTTTAACATCTGACTTAGTCATTATAGCTACTCCAGTACTACACGCTGAGAAGCTAGATATAAATATGAAACACTATAGGTTTTCCTCTTTTTTGTAGTCTTTTGTAGAAGACAAAAATGACACCATCATACAGTCACCTAAAAGACTTGACAGGTATTGATTTAAAGCACGATATATCAAGTAGTACTGTAAAAAGGATTTCATGGTCATAAATTTTAATGTCTACCAATTTTGCACTCTCTCAGTAACTTGTCAATAACAACAGTTCAGTTTAAAATATTTGCTTCATTCCTGCATGGCATTAAAGCCTATTATACAGTTGTTTGGGTATATAATACGTAACAAAAGACAAGTCAGTGCCATAAATCAGATGTTAGATTATATTTTCTGTAATCTGTTTGCTAATGTTATAATGGCACAAACTGCAAATTATTACCACAAGTACCTTTATTAAAACTATTTGTAATTATAGAAATACAGTTGCATTTTAAATATAATTTCTACACATACTTTGATTATTTTCTAATTTTAACTTTAGTTTCTGGCATAATTGTAAACACATAATACAAATCTTTGTCCCTAAAAATTAAACTTTGTATGATTCACTATGTATTTTACAATCTTTAAGATTACTAATTCAATCATTAAATATAAAGTTAAAAAGGAGGAGGTTAATAATTATATTGTGAAGCTTAGCATTTGATTTCATTATAAATGCCTCTAACTGTAGCTAAAATTAAAAATACTAGTGAAATCTGCAGTTCAGTTCATTTCTTGTGAAGAAATAATCTTTAAATAATAAAAATATTCAAACAAAAATTTTAAACCATCTTTTCTATTGTGGCATTATTGCAGTATCAGAATCTGAATTTATTGACAGCCTGGTTTTCATAAATAAATTCTTGTGTAATAAAAAATAAAATAACACGGAGCTTTCATGGCATATTTTTTTAAAAATAATAATCCTGAACAATTCTTATTTGCTTATTTCTAAAAATTATATTGTGCTAAATAGATCCACAAGAGCATCCTTCAGGTACTATTTCAGTGTATGAAATTATTGCCAATGATTGAAGGTAATTTTTTCTAGTTTTTAAATCATTTAAAAATGAATGCATCATTTCTAGGGCAAGGCATAAAATAATTTACTTGACATTTATTACACCTATATATATCTCTTACTTTAAATAAGAATTATTTTAGAAGATTTTTTCTACCTAAGAAACTCACTTTGGACCTAATATGGCAAACTTTTACTTACATGTGCCCTGCTCCTCCACTGACATCCACTGGCATGTGTTTCCGTACCTATGCAGAATGCCAGAGGACCAGTGGCCGCAGCAGGGGGACAGGGGTCAGTGCTAACAGATCCTGAAACTGGATTGGGGCCATGAGGAGTGCTTATTCACATAAGTTGCCTGATTTGAGTAGCCCTTACCCATGTGAGAGCTTCCATTCTTCAGTGGGGATGTGGATGTGAGTAAAACGTGTGAAGAAGGATGATTTCAGCTGAGTAAAGAGTTTGCAGGATCAGGCATCTGTTTTCTACTTGCTCCTGCTGTCTGTAAACGAAAATTAACTTTTCTTGCCTGGCCATTTAAGTAAATGGGGATAATGTAATAACATTTATTTATAATAGCAGTTTAAAATTTAATTTAAAATATTTAGAACACACACACTGATGTAAGGTATTTATTTAAAAAATGATAAAAATGTAAAATGTCACACTTAAAATTGTTAATCAAAATATATTTGAATGTAACTAGGTAGAATAATGGATTAAATCTGAATACCTGACTAAGCAATCAGATGTGACAGACATTAGCAAAAATAGAAAGCTATTTTTATTTTTAGTTTATTTATTAATATTTATGCAAGGAAGGGTAAAAAAGCTTCTTTGATATTCATTTAATTTAACAAATAACTATGAGAAAAGTAGTACAAACTTACCACCTACTAACTAGTCAGCATAACTAGTACATAAAAAAATTCTGAATAGTGTTATTTGGTAAACAAACCATGGGGCTCTAGAGAATAACACTTGTATAATTAAGAAAAGTTACCAAAAAGATTATGTACTATATTCTTTAAATATAATTTTCATTAAAACTGTACTAATGAGTTGCTGCTACCATTATTTATACACTTACAATTCATATCTATATCTATCTATCTATCTATCTATCTATATATATATATAT